TCAACTTTTAACATTCTCACAAAATCTGGTCCTTTACATTTTGTTACTACCACAGGGAGGCTTTCCTGGTTAATTTATTCCAACTAGATTACATATATTTATAGACACATTGCTTAAGGCTTGGATTTGATTGTCATAAAGTGCTTAATATCTGTCTGCACGACACTTCCCATTCAATCAGGGCCCATCACTAACTGACACATTCCAGTCCGATTGATTGATTTAGTATTTTAATGTCAAAGTAAATTAAGATGAATCAAGCAATGTTTAAGATAAGAATATATCCGAGAGTCATAGTAGAGATGATAGAATTTTTTTTAATTGGACACACAAAAAAAAAAAAAAATTTTTTAAGGTATCTACTTTAAAAAACAAAATTAATAATACTTACCAGTCCAGCAGGTGATGACTCTTTGCTCTCTTTATAGAAGGTTAATTATCTTCTTTTGCAGGATGGATTTTTAAGACATGTTCTTTTTTATTACAGTTACACATTTGTCCAGGCTGAAATAAAGGCACTTGTCCTGTAGAGTGAACCTTTGGCTAGGATTTGTATTTATATAGCTTTAACAAGCAGTAAATAAGCATGAAGTTCACAGCAGTAGCAGGAGTTAAAGTTTTACTAAACCCACAACAGTATAATCAGTCTGTATATGCAGTAAAGCATGCTTGATATACTCACTGTGGAAACTAAGGGGCTAATCCTCTACATTGTGTAAAAAGGCTGTTTGATCCTGTCTTCTCTGCTCCTCCTCTTGTTCAAATGTCCATGTCTTATCCCCTGATAAGACAGACAGACTGAACCTGTAACCATTCTGCAAATGCTCAGCTTAATGAGTATTACTAGAGAGGTTTCTGATTTCTTGGGAGAGTGCATGTGATCAGCACAGGGCCAATCAGCACTGTCCAGACAGAGGTCAGGGGTTTTGCATCCTCCTAGAGCAGAAAGAAAACTCCTCCTACAAGCTTTAACCAGTGCACTGCTGAACACTGATAGAAATCACAAGACTGCTCTAACTGCTGATGAGAAAAAGGTATTTAGAAGCTCATACAATAATTGTACTTCCATATATTGTGTACTGTGGGAGACCAGATATAGTGAATGTAGGGTCCTGGGTTTAGTAACATTTTAAGTTGCTTTCTCAGCAGATCACTCTGCTCCCCCTCCCAGCAGTGACTTGTCAACCTTTAAAAGCTGTGAAATCTTTAATGTAAACACAAAGCAGAGCAGAGTACTATATAAGCCAAAGCCTAGGTCAGCTGGGCTGCCAGGGGTGGCATGTAGCCTACCACACATCATGCTGTTGGCTAATGATATTGATAGCGGGATTGAGATACTAACACTTTCCCATTTAGCTCTAGCCTAATCATTTGACTGTCAGCAAGTGGTTAAATCTCTCCATAGCAAGAGATTTAAATCAACCATGTAGCCTTGTAGTTGTCCTTTCACTCTTGTAACCATCACTTTAGCTGGACAGCTTGACCTGAAAATGAATGTACTCACTGCTGCAAGAGTTTGTGCCAGAAATTGATTTTCAAAAGAAGGAGCCTGGAGATCCATTTTCCTCACAAAAGGTAATATATTCATATCCTTCTTTTAACTTTGCCTTGAAAGATTCAGACTCCTCATTAAAGTACAGCTCTAACAAATAGATTTTCCTATCCATTTAGAACCAAGGAAATTTATTTTTGTCAAATTTTATTGCCACCTGCGTCCTTATTGTGGAGATTCACCTTCTTTCCACTCCAAGTGAAATTTGCAAAAGTATGGACAGAAAGGCTTACCATTCAAATATACAGACACAAATAAAAACTTTACAAAGTGAAGGTCCCCATTTCCCAGCAGCATTAAAATAGCCTCAAGTGCTATAAACAGAGATGTGCAACAGATTTGCAAAGAGATGCAAATAAATGTTGAAGCCATGTCAAGGATCCTCTATAAACTGAATTTATCAAAAAACTGTCCAAAAAACATTTTAAGATCTGGACGCTTTGGCTGTTATACTTGGATTCTTTATGGGCTGCTTCTCGCGCCGGACCAGTGAGTTCCCCTGGAGGGAGGGACTGAGCCCTCCCCCACCCTCCTCAACCCTCCCCCCCTTTTTTTTCCCCTAGCTTCAGTAAAACCCTTTCCCCTCTCTTTTATGCACACATTTGCCTTACATTCGAACTCTGAAAAGCTGGCCTCAACATGGTAAAGACTCATGCGCCTTGGCAATTTAGTATATACTGTACATATTATATGTTTGTCCTTTTTTGCAGACTGAATGCTTTCTCTTGCCAATTTTCATGATTGTGACTTGATTTTGGCCTATGAATATCTGAGCTAACAGATTCTGCTGTTGTTGTAGGATGCATTATTTACCCTGTAACTTGGTTGAAATAAATAATGTATTTTAAAAAAAGGATCCTCTGTTAAACGTGGTCGCTGACTCAAAACCATTCGATTCTCCAACTCTGGGGAATATAAAGCAATTTAAAAACTAAAAGAAGGCTAACTCAAGGGCTGTCCCCTTCTCCTTTAATGTGACATAGAGATGAGCAGCATATAAATCCTCGTACACATGATGAAAAAAATTGGATGAAAAATACTGCTTTCGGCGCAATCATCCAATAATCTGATTGTTGATATACAGTTTTCGAGAGCCTATCACAACAGTTCATGCAAAATTGTTGTAAGAAAAGCACAAAAATTTGTCTCATGCGATAACAGAATGAAGCACTGAATCAGTACAGTATTTGTCTGAAAAAAATTGAGTGACCAAGACAGCGCATGCTCGAAAATGAAAGAATACATTACAATACATTACATCACTTATGAAGTTGCATTCTGTTGTACGAGAATTTTCATAATTTTAAAAACTTCATTTTCGATATGAGACTTTCAAGCAAAAATAAAATAAACAATCATTCGTCCGATATTCTCATTATATGTATGAGGCTTAATAGTACCAGTAGGTCCAAGCTTGAATAAAGAATCAACATAAAATATTCACCTGTAAACAGGGTTCAGGTGGGGACGGGGAGGAATGTGCTCTTATGCCATTTCAGGCTACCAGAGTCATTTGTTGAAACAGGGGCATGGCATTAAGGTGGCACTCTGCATAATGAACAATACTTCTACACACAGGCAGAAGCTTAATTCTTGGATTCCATAGCACTGTTCTTTCAATGTTATGCACTGGACGCTATGGATAACAGTTCCCCATTATACTTCTCTCCCTTGGTGCAGCATTTCTGATCCAAATTCTTTACTTCACTTATGTTAAAACTTCATTCTCAGGACCCATTTACATAAATCGTGCTTGCTATTTCCCCAAGGTTCCATCTTCAATGATATACAGGCTGGATCCCTAGGATGTCCTTTACTGCAAGTTGGACCGAGACTGGGGTACTGATTGCTAAGGAAGGAACTAAAGCACACAAGCTCCTTCACTACTAGGACTTTCCACCACCTATGCAAAGTCACCTCAGCTTGCCAACTGACTGGCTGATATAGGCACATAGACACTTGTGCTGTAGTCATTAGCAGCAGTAATATAGCCTTCTCTAGCTAGCTTGACCATTCATTCAGACTTTGACACTGCATCTTCTCCTTCATTGTCTTGTCCCCATATGCGCATTAGGCCTTGCATGCGCCCATTTGTGTATATTCTCAAGTAACTTCAGACCAGGCAAAGATAAGTTAACAACAAAGCAATGTTTACTGAGGGGTTGTTCAAATAAAGAGAATGTTGCAGTTAGCATCTTCCCAATCATCTCATTCTTCTCACAAAGTGCTAGCTAGCCACAATGGGCTAGCCCCCAGCCCATTTAGATAGTCATACTTTTTGAATGTAGAGTGACAGTCCTTAAAGTCCATAGAACAATTATATATGTCCATGAGTTCATGTCCCAGAATCCATACTGGGGTGAACTAACAGCAAAGCATCACTTACAAATCACAGCAATCTCCTCTTCCACTTCCCACACATGGAGCGACCCAAACTACTTCTTATATTTCCTTGCCACCCAGCAGAGTGTGGCACCACCATAAAGCTTAAAGGACAAGTTCACCTTTCTTAGCATGTTACACCCATATTCACAGTGTAACATGTAGTATGTTATAAATGGACCGGCCCCCACACCTCCCTGGTCCCCCACTGTGACAGCTAGTGGGGGATCTTCGCCTCCCACTAGCTGTCTCCTGCCTAGCCACGTCATTCATTCACAGTGTTCTGTGAATGAGAAAACTACAAGTCCCTGAAGTCTTTGCGGCTGTTGGCTTGTAGTTCTCAATGAACTACCACAGCGCTGTGAGCAGTAAGTATCGGCTTCCCTGTACTAGGTATGAAGAAGCAGATACACTGACAGGTCTGCATGGCATCTGCTATCTGCTGATCACTTGTGCAATGCTTTACAGGCTCCCAAAACAAAAAATAATAAATGCACATTATTTTAACTGCAAAAAAATGTGCAATTGTTATTTTTTGTTGAAAGGTGAACTTATCCTTTAAGAAGTCTGGAAACCTGGCCAGCATAGTTAACCCCTGACTTCCCAAAGGAACCAGCTTACAAGGGCAACATAACTAAGCAATGTAACAATTAGTACATAAAAGGCATAACATAAGAGCCATCTAGTAAGCACCTGCCTACACAAATTTTCAGGTGGCCGAAATAACACAGAGCAAAGAGGCTTGAATAATGATTCTGTTGGCAAGCAGATGTAGGTATACAGCACTGCCTAGCTACCAGTCAAATACCAATCCCATGTATGAAATCAACATGATTCTAACATGTGGACAGTGGTTGATCATCAAGAGAAAAGTATACTATCAGCTGTTCTTATCTTCTTGAATAGCAAGTCCAGGTTCATTTTGTCTTTTACCTTGGTGGTTTTTGCATATATTAATTTTGTTTTAAAGGAAGATGGATATAAATATTATTATGTTCAGAATTTAGGTGCAAGTGGCTGATATCCAACTGATTATTACGAAATATGTATTTAATAGAATTAAAAGGTAACTCAACTTTTGTGGGAAAAAATTAGCAAATAAAAAAAACAATAATATAGGGTATACGATTACAACTCAAGTCATATAGTAATTACCGTATTTTTCGCTCCATAAGACACACCTGACCATAAGACGCACCTAGGTTTTAGAGGCAGAAAACAGGAAAAAAAAATTCTGAACTAATGGACTGCAGACATAGTACAGGAGATGACCAGAGACTGCGGACATAGTACAGTAGATGACCAGACACTGTGGACATAGTACAGGAAATGACCAGAGACTGCGGACATAGTACAAGAGATGACCAGAGACTGCGGACAGTACAGGAGATGACCAGAGACTGCGGACACAGTACAGGAGATGACCAGAGACTGCGGACACAGTACAGGAGATGACCAGAGACTGCGGACACAGTACAGGAGATGACCAGAGACTGCAGACATAGTACAGGAGATGACCAGAGACTGCGGACACAGTACAGGAGATGACCAGAGACTGCGGACACAGTACAGGAGATGACCAGAGACTGCGGACAGCACAGGGATGACCAGAGACTGCTGACAGTACAGGAGATGACTGCTGACCTTTGGAGAGGGGGGGGAGCGGGTGCTTGAATTTGACAGGTACCCGCTCCCACTTCCGCGGAGTTGTTCTTTGATCTTACCTGTTCCTCTATCCAGCCACGCGCTGTCTTCCCGGCTTCTGTAGTGTGGGTGCTCGGCGGACAGCCGGATGCCCAGTGCGCATGAGCGAGAAGCGCTGGGCTTTGTGATTGGTCCGGTGGCTTCTGGGATCTGTCATGTGTCCCAGGTACCGCCTTACCATTCACAAAGAGCACCGCTTCGTGCGCATGCGCACTTGGCACCCGGCTGTCACGCACTCTACAGAAGCCGGGAAGACAGCACGCCGCTGGATAGAGGAACAGGTAAGGTCCCACTACAGAGCTGAGCGGCCGGCCCGGTATTCTGATACGGCGGCGGTGGAAATACCGGACCGGCCGCTCCATATTCACTCCATAAGACGCACTGACATTTTCCCCCCTTTTTTGGGGGGAAAAAAGTGCGTCTTATGGAGCGAAAAATACGGTAAATGTTAATAAAAATTGCCTTTCCTTTTCAATCTGCAGTGCTGTAATATTCTGTCAAATGCAATATAACAACCTGAAGGTATTCTTTACAGAGAAGTACAGACCTGAAAATGTAATTTCCCGCTTGTATGATTGACTTACTTGTTTCCCCAGAAGTCTGCACTAAGATACATTTCAGATTTTTGGCATCATCAAAACAAAAATGTCATTTTTGGTGAGATGTTCCCAAAGGGAAATCATGTCTAAAGGGACGCAGACCCTGTCCATTTCCTCAAAAGAGTTCTGCAGGTGCATCAACTGATTGATAGTTATAAAACCATTTCCATACAGATTCACTCTGCACATGGACACAGAAAAACAAACAGCTATTTCTTCAGAATAACAACATCTGCAACAACGTTTGTTAAAATCTTTGCAATGTACATTGATCACCCAGAGGAGAATGTTTTTTTCTCAACAAAAGTGGAATTACTCTTTAAAATATAAAATTGTTCTATATAATTACCATATTCTCAGGTACTAAAAACAAAATCCTTATATTGCAATTGTGACAGGTTTATCGGGGTTAATTATCAGGTGTATAACCAATACCAGCCAGCTTGGAGAATGTTTGTTTAGATTACATAAACTGATGTGGAAGTATCTTTTCTTCATTGTCTGTGACTCCTAAAGAGGCGGTGTTGCTTGTTCTTAAATACATTGGGGGAGAGTTAATAAAACTGGTGCACTCAGAATCTAATGCAGCTGTGTATGGTGGCCAATCAGCTTCTAATTTCAGCTTGTTCAATTAAGCTTTTGACAATGAAACCTGGTTCTATGCAGAGTTGCACCAGATTTTGCACTCTCCGGTTTTAGTAAATAACCCCCATTCAGTTTTAACATTTCTTATTAAATATGGAGTTTTTTATTTATTTAAAACCTGGCTGGATTAAATTTCTCTGGTCTACACCCACATGTACACACACATACATGTCATGTACACACAATACCAATCAGTGTTTGAGCCATGGCAAACTACACATGGCAAAAATATCTGGTAAGTTTTTCCCTGTTAGTACATTTCGGTTGTCTGATCTTGCTGCACTTAGATAGCATAATTTTTTTATCGACTAGTAAATGAAAACTTTTTGTGAACATATCCTGGACTCTCTATGTTGTGAAGAATTAACTTTAAAGCTTGTTTGCAGTGACACACATTTCAGAGGAGCATCTAAGAGCATCTTTAGGTCTAAATGTGGAAAATAAAAATTCTCAATGTTTAGACCTATTAGTAGTAGTAGTATCGAAGTACTTCATCTATTGAAGTTGCTGGATAATATTTGGCCATGAAGCGGTATTTAAAGATTTCTGTTTGAGCGTGGAAATCCATCACAGAGGTGTAATATTTTGAACTGCCCAAAAGGGACATTCCACAGCCAGGGTCTATACTGACAAACGGAAGGTGCCGCCATCTAAGTGTATCAACTTAATTAAAAACAAGTAAAGGAAAGAGTTAAAATACACTCACAAGGATGAGAGTAATCGGGGATATCATCAGTCCTTTTTCTCTGGCAAGCCACGGTGGACAGCGGGTGGATGCATGAGGTGTATCCTTAACCTCCCTAGCAGTCTGATTATGTCCATATTTCTGTGCTCAAAGCGATACATTTTTTTTTGCATGGAAATATGTATTTTTTTTATTGTAGGCCTGTCATTTTTAGGAATAACTCACTGAAATCTGTCCAAACAAGAGTCTAGTAAACAGCCCGGATATGTTAAAATTTGAAAATACGAAATCATAAATTATAATATAATAAATAATCATAAAAAAATAATAATATAATAATAATAAATTTAATTCAATAATATATTCAAACCAAAAACACTGAAATTTGAAATAGAGCGCCAATTTCGCACATCACTGAGCAAAGACGCAAAATCGTTTTCAGTGTCTGATGACGAATTTCCCCACGAATCATTATCACTCAATTCTGCAAGTAGTTCTAATTTACTATCGCTGTTCTCTAGCTGGTCTAAAACCGATTTTGACCTATATGGACGCTTTTTGGACACCATGTATGTTTCTCAGTTTCCAGGCAGAAAGAACAGTAAAAATGCAGGCAGGGCACAGGACAAAGCACTCGGGACAAAATGTATGTGAAATGGTTTGATACAGTAATGTTTTACTATGTGATTTTAGTGTATTTAGTGAATGTCACTTTTTGTCATTTTCAAATCTCCCGCTGTTCCATCCCCGTATGTCCTGACTTCGCAGGGGACGGAACCCAGAAGACTGATGCCGGCATCCGCCGGGGGACATTGCGGGGACACTGCAGGAGGGACATCGTGGGAGAGCAGGACAAGGTAAGTGAAGAACAGATCCCGGAGCAGCGCCGCATGGTAAGCCCGAGTGTAGCTCGGGGTTACTGCTTGTGGTACTGAAACTTTACCCCGAGCTACACTCGGGAATACCGTCAGGGAGCTGCACTGGAAAGCAAGTTAGTGCTAGGACTGGAATCAGAATTGATGTCAGGATGCATTGACGTCAAAGCGTGATGGGCAGTAACATGTTTCAGAGCCCACAATAGCTCCTTTGTCAGACCATAAGAGGTTAAAGTCTTGTTGAATCTATGTCCTTCTAATATAACAGATTCTGCCACACTGAGTGTAAAATAAGGGGCAGACATGGTGGCTGACACAAACAAATGACATGGGGGATCCTCATGACAGAGCACCTTTCCATATGTTGATGTGGATTAAGGCCTCTTCCTCCAAACCCTAGTCTTGTGATTTTGGTGGTCTGTATGGTACATTTGAGGTGAGTTGCATTTGGGAATCTGGAAACCCCCTTTTAAAAAAGAGGGGGGGGGCCTGATACCACCTTCCACCTATGTGAATGAGTAAGGGATACATAGTACACCTTACTCATTTGCAATAAAATGTAATTAGTAAATAAACACAGGCAACTTTTGACAAGTCCTCTATTAATTGAAAAAAAAAAAAGTCTTGCAAAGTAAATCAGTCATTAACCACATTGCCCAGTGATGCAGATCCTCATCGAACACAATGAATGATGCCCACCGACCCACAGAAAGAAAAAAACATTGACCTGTAGCCTAACCCCAAGACTTGCTTGCCACAACACACAGCAGAATGTAAAAATAGAGGCAGAGTATCCCAGGTAATGTTATTGAGTAAATATGGACATGCACATTTGGTCAGTGGGTGTGACAGGGATTCTAGGTGACATCATTGACCAAATATGCTCCAGTCAACATTTAGTCAGTGCTGTCACCCTGAATCCCTTGCCCCTTTTTAGTTGTCAGCTAGGGAGCTGTCATTTATGGTGGGCAGTCATCGGGAGTGGACCGTGTCTAAGGTTGGCATGTTTTCTCTTTCAGCAGGCATTTTTTATTATGATTGATGTGGATCTACATCACTGGATAACATGTTTGATAATGAATTCACATTGCAGAACATTTGTCAAAGTGTGTCAGTTATTTGTTTTTCATTTGTTATGTGAAGGAGTAGAGGTACAGTATACCCCTCACTCAGTCATGTAGGGAGGCTTGATATCTGGAGACCCGCATTTTTTAAAGGGTTCTTGCAGATTCCAATAAGCTCCCTGCCTGCAGACCATACAACCACTTGGCCAGGGCTGTAACTAAGCTCTTTGCAGGGATTGTCCTTACACTGGTCATCATACAGATGGTCTACTCTACAGGCAGCTTCAAGGCACCCCCCCTCCCCAAGCATGAAATGTAAAGGAATTTTGTATTTTTAAAATTTCACTTTAGGCATTGAAATTTGTGTTAATTTTATTTATTTTATATAATTATATTTATTTCACATTTTTTATTTTTTTAAATGTATTTTTATTGCTATCACAAGGGAACTAACAAGCTCCCTATTTGATAGTATGAGGCGGGTCTTTATGGACACAACAGAGACAAAAATGCTAGAGGCTCTTTCCTTTATAGGTAACACTATACATTAAGAGCCAGTTTAGAAGATAAAAATTTGCTGGAGCTGGTGAGGATGAGCAATTAATTGCATGCTTTCAAAATTCCTTGTAAAATGAGCACCAGGAAGCACAAGTGAGAAAGTGAAAGCTGGATCATCATCCAGCTTTCACTTTCAATGGTATCAGTTCCTTCATCCTCTAGGAACTGCCTGCATACTCTCGCCACATGAGGCTGGGCATTGGCGTACACCAGGAAGAACCCAGGACCCACTGCACCAGAGTAGGTTCTGACAATGGGTCCAAGGATTTCATCCAAATATCTAATGGCAGTCAGGGTGCCATTGTCTAGCCTGTAGAGGTCTGTGCGTCCCTCCATGGAAATGCCTCCCTGGACCATCACTGACTCACCACCAAAATGGTCATGCTAAACGATGTTACACGGCTTCTCCAGACCCTTTCATGTCTGTCACATGTGCTCAGGATGAACCTGCTCTCATCTGTGAAAAGCACAGAGCGCCAGTGGCGGACCTGCCAATTCTGGTGTTCAATGGCAAATGCCATTCGAGCTCTATTGTGTCGGGCAGTGAGCCCAGGGCCCACTAGAGGACTTCAGGCCCTCAGACCACCCTCATGAAGTCTATTTCTGATTGTTCAGTCAGAGACATTCACTGCTGGAGGTAATTTTGTAGGGCTCTGGCAGTGCTCATCCTGTTCCTCCTTGCACAAAGGAGCAGATACTGGTCCTGCTGATGGGTTAAGGACCTTCTATGGCCCTGTCCAGCTCTCCTAACTGCCTGTCTCTTGGAATCTCCTCCATGCTCTTGAGACTGTGCTGGGAGACACAGCAAGCCTTCTGGCAATGACAAGTATTGATGTGCCATCCTGGAGGAGTTGGACTGCCTGTGCAATCTCTGTAGGGTCCAGGTATCGCCTCATGCTACCAGTAGTGACACTGACCCTAGCCAAATGCAAAACTAGTGAAAAATAGTTTTGCAAGGATGAGTAGGGAAAAAACTGTCAGTGGCCTCCACCTGTAAAACCATTCCTGTTTTGGGGGGCGTCTCATTGTTGGCCATCTAGTGCACCTGTTGTTAATTTCATTAACTCTAAAGCAGTTGAAACTGATTAACAACCCCCTCTGCTACTTAACTGACCAGATCAATATCCCAGGAGTTTAACTGACTTGATGCTATACTCTGATTAAAAAGTGTTCCTTTAATTTTTTTGAGCAGTGTATATCATATTAATTTTACTCAGGAAAGTGCATGTGTGCAGATATTTACAAGCAGGGTGTGCTCCAGGTGTGGAGGCCTGAAGAACAGCTAGAGCATAATTTCTGTAAATTTCACAAATAAAGATCATAGGGTCAATACAGTTTTATAAAGAGCTCAAATCAACTGCTAAATGAGCAGGTGAGACAAACCTATTATACCATTTATGCTTTGGGACAATAAAATTAAATCAAGATTGTCATCAAAATTACCTGCTGAGATCCTAGAAGAAGCGGTCAAATTTACATTGTAACCTCAGCTAGCCCAACACACTAAGAGCAAAGAAACAGAGATCAACAAGTTCAACATTTTGCTACTATAGACCAGCCATAAAAAACAGGGGAGAGGAGTTAACATGGTGAAGAAAAGATGTTAATAAAATACCAAAGAGCAGGGGTCTCCAAACTTTCTATAAAAAGGGCCAGTTCACTGTCCTTTAGACTTTGGGTGGCCAATGGGAGTAGAAAATGTCTCAACATCAGTGGGAGTAAACAGTTTCTCATTCTCAGTGGTCTGTGGAAGTAAAAAAAAAAATTACAAAGCACCTGTGGTCAGTAGGAGAAGGAATAGTGCCCCAGTATTGATGTCAGTGGGAGAAATTGGTGCCTCATTATTGGAGTCAGTGGAAGGAATAGTGCCCTATTATTGGAGCCAGTGGAAGGAATAGTGCCCCATTACTGGAGTCAGTGGAAGGAATAGTGCCCCATGATTGGTGTCAATGGAAGGAACAGTGACCCCCATTGTTGGTGTCAGTGGAAGGCATAGGGCCCCATCATTGTTGTCAGTGGAAGGAATAGTGCCCCATCATTGGCATTAATGGAAGGAGTAATGACCCATCGTTGGTGTCAGCGGAATGAATAGTGCCCCATTGTTGGTGTCATTGGAAGGCATAGTGCCCCGTTGTTGGTGTCAGTGGAAGGAATAGTGCCTCATATCAGTGGAAGGAACAGTGCCCCAAGGACCGGATGAAGGGGAGCAAAGGGTCGCTGCCCTAGAACAATAAGGATAAGTGAGTAAGACAAGCCATAGTTGATACAATTTTCTTTCCTGCTACCATGGGTTGCGGGAAAAAAAATTACATGATTCCCCCATTAACACAATCAGTGTTAATGGGGGTATTCTCCTGCAACACTATTGTGTTCTGCCAGCAGGGAGCCTCCTGCCAGCAGAACACAATAATTACTGTTGGTGGCTTTAGCTACCTGCAGTAACAGCATGCAAGAAATCTGACAGGCTCTTTGTACTGAAGTCAATTAATGGATCAACTTCAGTACAACCAGTCTGCCCATAGATTGAATGAATCTTGGCCAGTCCCTGCTGAAACAGTTGAGATTCGATCCATCTAAGTTTTTGAACTTTGTTGGGTCACAGTTGTGGAATATTTTTTATTCATAACAACCGCATATTGGGAGAAGAGCCAAAACAACTCTTCAAGAGTTTTGGACCTCTTATGCAGCACTAAATCACCACTTTTCACCCTTACCACATTTGAGAGGAGGGCTCTTGCATGCCTAAATATAGGCATTCAGGGTCATGAATAAGGGGGTGCCACCAGTCCTTGTGTACAGGGCCCAGGCCAGCAGAGGGGCCCAGGCAGCTGGGTGAATTGGATGTGGGCAGGAAGGGTGATTGGTATGGTGGGAGGGGGTAACTACTGGAACCAATCCCTTGTATGACTCTTTCTGCAGCAGTTGGCTTCTTCTCCTCTCCCTCCCGCTGGCTTTCAGCTGCTGCAGAGAGAGCCATACAGGGGATCGGTTCCAGTGATTTTCGCATCCATCACCCTTCCTGTGCACCATACGTTTCCCCCTGCTGCCCAGGCCCCCCTGTGTGCCCTCACTCCCAGAGTGCTGCCAGCTTCCTTCCTCTCCTTTCAGCAGTTGCAAGCACACAATAAGATCTTTCAGAATGGAGAGTGGAGGAAGAGTCTGGTAAATACGTCACATTTACCAGCCCCTTCCTTTCTCAAATGAACATAATGAGTGATTGGCACCAATCACTAACTGTGTACATTCAAAACTGAAGCATAGTAAACTATGTTTTTTTTTTTTTAAGGGAGGCCCTACCAGGTTGGCTGTATGGGACCCGTGGTTTCTAACAGCAACCCTGTAGGCATTGCTCATATTTGGGTAATGACATCACCTGCTGATAGCTGAATAGGGCCAGGGATGTAGCCCTGTGTGGAAAGCTGTCACATTCATGACAGCTTCCCAACACAGGCACTGCCCGCTCTTTTGTACACCAGCTCAGAG